CCAGTGAAACTGATTCTTCCCGGAGGAGCAAGTTTTCCGGTGCCCCCAGGCCTCCACTGCAGTGTGATGGGGAAGTCGCATCATGTTCCAGAGGTCATGTCAGTAGGAGGAGAAGTGCTAAAATACTCATTTTTTGAACGTCGTGGTGGAGTGAAACGTATCTCTGGTCTGACGCAGTTGGCAACCAACTCCTTTCGCAAACTCGCATCGTTTGCAGGAAAACCTCATCGCTACCGTTAAGAACTGTCGCCCTTACAAGGGAGGTCTTTCAGGGCAAGCCGCGCTTGTTCAAAACGGTTTGTTGCATATTGTAGGGACGCATGTATGGACCACAAAACCATGTTTCGTTTTCGCTGAACGGTTTTAGTAGTACCAAAAAAGTGGTGAATAATACCCTTGATGGTTCAATCCCCCGCGGCGACTAAATTTTGCAATCAAGGTTGGCGGCACTTGTTGGCTTCAAAATGGTCCTGACGATGAATTGACATCTGATTTTGATATTTAGCGCGATTTGGCACCAACCGTAGGCGCCAACCCAAATGCAAAATTTAGTCGCCACGGGGGATCGAACCATAACAGTATATTCTTTTTTGGTACTGCTAAACCGTTCAGCGAAAACGAAACATGGTTTTGCGTTCCCTACATGCGTCCCTACAATATGTAACAAACCGTTTTGAAAAAGCGCGACTTGCCCTGAAAGACCACCCTTGTTAGTGAGACCGTGAATACCAGGAGTTGACTGGCCTCCGTATCCTGATAGGAACCCTGCCGAAAGCCAGGTTCCCACGCTGGGCCCCCATCAGCAGCCAGGTCCCCACGCTGGGCCCCAGCCAGCAGCCAGGTGCCCACGCTAGGCCTGGGTGCTTCTGAACTAATGAGTTGAAATGAGTCAAGTAACGTTCTTCATTAATACATAGTCTCACGAAGAGCTCAACAAGCTCCTCTCTGGTGTGACCATTGCACAAGGAGGTGTTCTGCCAAACATCCAGGCTGTTCTCCTACCCAAGAAGACTGCCGGTGACAAGGAATAAGCGCCCACTCGTGCTGTCTCTAATCTAACCCAACGGCCCTCTTTAGGGCCACATATGATGCAAAACGAATACTCACATTATTGCAGATTCATATTGTTGAATAATAAAATTTTATATACTAAAAAGCGTATGTATAAAATTGGCAGAATACTGCATATTTTCGATAAAGAGCAGCTTAAGTTTTTGATGGAATCTCTTCTGTGTTCAGATACTGTTCACAAACATACACTTTCTCCAGCAGGCACTTCTCGGCCCATGTGTGACAGGGACACACCAGAACAATTGGATCTCAGCAACTGCTGGAAATGGAGAAATAAACAACCCTTTCTACAATGCTGATTCCCATCCTGTGATAGCCCTTCTATCGATCGTGTCCTATGGTGATGAGTAGTTATTGAGTGACAACTCTTCTAGTGTTTCCCTGTCTGCTCATCGACTCACTATTATCTCACCATTTGGCTCCCCTTGCACTGCCACCTGGAAACGATAACGCTCTCGCAAGGTCATGTTCGAATTTTCGCCCGCTAAAGAAATGACGCCATGGCGTGGCATCGACCTGCAAATAGGCGCAACTGATTGATTGATTTTGGTAGCTTTACCACAGAAAAATTACTCACACCGCACCACGTGAACATTGGATAAAGTTTTAGGGCGATCACAAGCTTTCCTTAGTTAATCTTTAACAAATTCACAGATAGCGCTACTACTGCAAACATTGTAACACACAATATTCACAACAACTAAGCAAATAATTTTTATTCAATCTCCAATGCAATACTCGTATTCGTTAACGTTTCAATTGTGGCCCTAAAGAGGGCCGTTGGGTTAGATGTATGAATGTTTCGATCAGCACATCAGCTTCTTATCCACCGAATCCGTACAGGGTACGTCCTTGGCGTTTCAGGGCGTAGACGACGTCCATAGCAGTGACGGTCTTTCTCTTCGCATGCTCACAGTAGGTGACCGCATCACGGATCACGTTCTCAAGGAACACCTTCAGAACTCCACGAGTCTCCTCGTAGATCAGACCAGAGATACGTTTCACTCCACCACGACGAGCGAGACGACGGATTGCCGGCTTGGTGATGCCTTGGATGTTGTCACGAAGAACTTTGCGATGGCGTTTGGCTCCTCCTTTGCCGAGTCCCTTGCCTCCTTTTCCTCGTCCAGACATTGTTGCGATCGAGCAGTTGTACTCACGAATGAGATGCCGTTCGACGCGCGCCCGTCACTTATATACGCACACACCAGGTCACCACGTGGGGCCCCCACAATCAACTACACCAGCATAACGCCTCTTCCCTCGTCAGTATTCTACTCATTCCAACACCAGGAAAAAAATTCTTCACCATTTCATGAGCTATACACTTTTCTTCTCTCAGACCACTTTCAGTGTATAGGAAGACAAACAAACAAACAAATCATAGATATTTATTTCAAGTGATATCACTTCACCCACTGAGAAATAATGTATTCGTTTACTTATGCGATTGTGGCCCTGAAGAGGGCCGTTGGGTTAGATTGAGTTCAACTCGGTGTGCTTATGCTCGTTCACCGCGGATACGGCGGGCCAGCTGGATGTCCTTGGGCATGATGGTGACACGTTTGGCGTGAATAGCGCACAAGTTGGTATCTTCGGTCGTGGAGGAGGAAGAGCTGCAAATTTCAAAAATTCCCATTTAAACATGTAAAGTTGAAAAGTTTCCAAGATCGTGATGCTGATAGGCATGCTTCTCGACACATGTGAATGATCGCGGATTGCTACAACGGCTGACAATCTGGGCTGGAAAAGTAATTATCTTTAGCCGGAGCCAACCTCTCCAGCTAGACCGTTGGCTGTGGAGGTCGCGGTGTTGTCGGACGTTTTAGACAGGGTGGGGGCCTCAGGGAAGGACGAGGATAAGCGGAAGGAGATAAGACTCGAGTAGGCCTATTCTGGCCACAAGCCGTTCCCATCAAGCCTGTGCTTGTGTCTATGAGGAAAGGAAGACCTTAATAACCGAAGTGCTCCACGATCTTTTCATGTGGCAAGCGCTGCATTGAATTATTGCTCAGATTCGTGCAATCGGGTTTAGATCCTACCCCACTATCTGTGCTTGTAATTTCTGAAAGTTCCTATTAAATAATTAACAATTTCACGAATTTTACGTTGCATGTGCGAACCAGCAAGCAGCAGTAGTGCCGTGGCAAGTAGCGCTTCTTCTCACGTTTGCGGTTTGGGGATTAAATCCTGGGTCGTGCGACGGTCAAATCAACGGAGCCTTACATCCCTCCGGACTAGTGTGTTCGTGCGCGGCTTGACTGGGAGGATAAAACAGTGACTCGTTCATGAACAGGACCCTGCAAATCATTGCAGGCCAAATCGAAGTAGAATGCATGGCGCAGCCCAGAACGGGTTGATCGAAGAAAATGTTTTGAGCTTTCATATTTTATATGTGTGGCACAACTGATTGTTTGGGTGTTTGAGAAAGAAAGTTCGCAAAAATTGGAAAAAGCGCGAGTAGGTTTTCTGAGAGCACTTTTGACTTCGAAAATATTAATAGCAAGCGCCCGGCATGGTTTTCCGTCGTATATTTCAATCTTCCAAATGACATTGAAAGACGTGATTGTCAAGCCTCAGGTCTCGGCTGGTTAGTACATGTTGTAGGGGCGCATGTATGTGCCACAAAACCATGTTTCGATTTCGCTGAAGGGTTTCAGTAGTGCGCCCATGCACCTCACGTTGAAACTCCGCCACAGTTCTGAATACATGGCGTATCCCGAAAGGGATTGGTCTACACCAAATCCCTTCCTACCCACTCATTCTTCTCAATAACTGAATCATTTATAAAAACTTCATAAAAATTCATTTCATGATCCATGCTTTTCTCAGCCCGTAAAGTTTTGGCTCCATTAACGGTGTGTAGCGACTCCGACTGTCAGCCTATTCCAGGGCAGCCTGTGTTTTCGTAAAGGAAGCATCTAGACAACCTGCAAAACGTGTCAGTCACCATAGATCAGATGCGATAGGTGAGCCGTCGCATACAACGGCCAGCCGTCGTATACGGCGGCTCACCTATCGCATCTGATCTATGATGCCTGCGCATCTCTTCTCGGAGGTGGCCGCTGGGCTGAGTGAGATCGATTGAACGATGGTGGCAACCGAAAAGCTCTCGAGCCAGCCGATCTCGGCAATTCTAGGGTAATCATAATAGAATTCTCTGCGTCAGTAATCCGCAGGCGGCCGGCGAGCGCATACGACGGCCAGCCGTCGTATACGGCGGCTCACCTATCCCAAGTTTGAGGTACTAATAAGATCCGACCCGATTCAATTCGTGGTCAGAGAAATTTTGGAAAACTCTCCTAAATGGAGAGAACAAGCATTGG